TTGTGATCCAGACAAAATTTCCAGAATTCCTTCGCCAGATCTGAGCCACTGAGGTGGTTGATGTAACAAACTGCCGATATGTTGTCCATCTGCAAGAGAATAGAGTAGTTGGGCGATACACCAAAGAGGCTTCGCAGGGCAAACAAACCTGCTAGTAATTCGAGGCAATTTATTTGCATGTTTTGTTCCACTATGGACCATTTCCCCCCTGTGGAGGTAGGACCGTAGCGCGCCCCCAGCGGAGCATACTTGCATCTGATTCTACTGTGAAGTCCGGAGCGGTGCCGAAGATTGCTCGTCCGATCCACGCCTCCATGTGTTGCAGCCACCACCGAAGTTCCTCAGTGGCAGAACAGAGTCTGAATATGATTGCCTCAAGTGAAGATGTTTGGCTTTGAGGCGTTGAAGTGCTCTGTAGTGGAGAGCCAAAAATTGCTTGGATCAATGCAGAGAGGAAGCCAATGATTCTGGCTAGTTGTCTCAGGGTCAGGACTGGACAGGCCATAGTCCAACAGATCTCCTTGATGGACTTGACTTTAGAGGGTGGTAGAAGAAGTGCCCCACATACGGAATCTATGGTGAATCCTAGGAATTCTTTTGGTTGGGAAGATTCAAAGACTGATTTTTCACAGTTTATGAGGAAACCAAGATTGTCCATGAGGGTCATTGTCCAATTCAGATGTATTTGAAGCAGGTGAGGGTCCTGTTGTCACAGCTTACCTTGGTGGGAGTCTGGTATGCAGAGATATGCTCACCCTTGCAATTAGACACAGGCCAAGGTGTCAGGGAAGAACTCACCAGACCGACCGCACAGCCCAAATATGTCTGTGCACGGGGGCTGTGCAGGATGATGCTCCAAGTCGCAGTACAGATATGGACATAAACAGGAGAATCATCGTGGGTAAGCCAAAGGTCAGTGGGTGCCAGAAATCAGGATAAACGAGTAGAGAGCCGAGGTGAGAAGATGCCAGAAGTCAGGATACACAAAAAAACAATCCAAGGTCAGGAATCAACAGGAGAACACGAAACAGCAATACGAGAACCAGAGTCAATGAACTGACACTGTCCTCAGGGAGAGGCAGTGTCTTATACCTGGCTATTCAGTGATCAGCCACAGGTGAACCATGAGTGACAGGATCAGTCTCAGATAACGTCCAGCTCCCAGTGCTGGATACAAGGCAAGAGTAGACTTCTGGAATTTCCTGAGCTGTATGGTGGCTCAGAGGCAAAATAGCAGCCCCAGGACTACAAAGTACCCTGGTTCAAATCCCCTGCTGGCCACTCCTGGGGCGACCTCGTCTGGCAGACTGGATGTCGCGGCGAGAACTGTCACACCTGTGCCATTGAAATTGGAGATATTGGCAATCTTTGGCTATTGGTATGGTGAGATAGGCGTCTCCTGAGAGCAGAATGTCTCGGAGTGAGTGAATTCCTTCCATCTTAAGGTGGTGTTATGCAACACTGACACTGACTTCACCATTGTAGCATCCAGTAGTGACTGAAACTCCTCAGAGTTTATTAGCTCCTGTGATGCATCCTCCAGCGCAGCATCCCCCTAAACACCTGGAGAATGACCATGCACTGCAAAATTGCCAACTGTTGTCAGAGTCAAACCGCTGGAATGTTGGTATCCTGCAGCGAGGCTCACGGTTTGATGGAGAGGTGAGTGGGAGCTGGGTGGGTCAGTGTAAAGTCAGCAAATCAACAAGCCAACTAGATATAGGGAAGAAGGGGGTAAAGGAGGCTGGGTGAAGGGAAAAAAAAGTTGCACTAAGTGCCAGAAGAGTTCACAGGCAATAATGCAACATAAAATATGTGAGAAGTACTTAGCTGAGGAGACAGCAGCAAAGAAAGAGGAGTGGCTTAAGTTCACATGGGACATTATAGTGCAAGGAGCATATTTTAATAACATGTACCCTTTGTGGTACATGTTATTTTGTTTTCTTTGATTATTTCAATACCTTTTCTTTATAAAGAAAGAGATAAAGCATAATATGAGCCTCCGTGTCCTTTAATAAAATCCAAAGTCATATCACTCTAACGGCTTACACCTGACACCATATAGTGTTTGACTTTTCCCATCTCTTCCTTTACAAATCATATCTTACAAACTAGTCTTTATCCCTAGGTGAGCCTTCTTTTTTACAGGTTCGTCTGCATGTCAGTTGTGGCACAACACAACTGACTTTTCCTTATATCTATGTATGTCATACTCAGCCATTGACTCCGACAACAGTTATACTTAATATCGAATGTATAAATATATTTAGATTTTCTACTGCCTTTTTTCTCTTCTATTGATCACTTCTCACTTGATCTGTGAATAAAATGAACATTTAGCCACAAATCATCTTTTCTCCCATCAGTCATCTTAATGGGGCCACTGGTGGAACTCAGAATTATGCTTGTCCACTGTACGAGTTCTTTGTTTCATGAATAATATATATTGCAGTTTTGAAATTGTGGATTTGGACAATCACCTTATCAGCTTAAATTTCTATAAATTGGTTTCACTGTTTGTAAAGAAACAAATCTTTGAGACTATATAAAACTATTTTACTGCTTAAAAGGAGATTTTCAATACTTTTTAGCCAAAATTACTAACTGAATAAGATTCCAAGTGGGATCACAATTTTTTTGTTTATTTTTTTAACTGCATGTTTGGCAGTTGCTTATTTCACTTTTAGACACAATATCTTTCTATATTCAATAATCTGAACATTAGCTTTACACCAGACTGTTAATTAAGAAATAACAGGTATTGATGTATTGCACTGTGAATGACCTATAGTCTTATCATTACTAGGCTCTAATTAGCCATCTGTATAGATTAATTGTACTATTGATTTTAATTGGCTGCTCACGTCCAGACTTAGTAAATTTGAAAGAATCTATTTAAGTGATTTCTAAACTGTACGATGAAGCTTAGTGTATCCGATTATAATTATTACTAAACCTGTTTTATTGTATTGTGTTGTATAGGTAGTTAATAATTAAACTTTAGGAGGAAGTTTAAAGGTCACTATTAATACCTACTTCTTCAGTGATCTAGTATGGATAATTCTATGTGTGCTACAATTTCAGATATTAAAAGGGTTGGAAGGGAAAAATTAAATGGGTTAAAATGAAAACTTGTTAAGTATAGACAATGTAGTAACGTATATAGTAGTTGTAGGAGAATATAAGACTACAAAGTATAAGGATCACAGTTAAAAATGTTCTATAAATAAAACAACATTTTTCATTATTTTTCCTTGTACATATGCAGCCCCTTGGGATTCAGTGACAGAAGCTCTTTAATCCAATACTGCTACTAAAGATAAACCCTGCAGAAGTGGTACATGGAGGTCCCCCTTCTCTACTGGTATGCTCTTGTTCTGGTCTGTACTGGGACCTCTTTTTAATTTAGTTTTTAGTTCTTAATTTCTAAAGAACAAAATATAATTTTCTTTTCTGTTCTTCCCTCCACCTTAGTAAAATATTAGCCCTTGGTCATGTAGTCTAGAATGAGAAACCAATTCAACTGGGAATTGTGCTCGTTGAGAGCAACACTTCTGGTTAATCTTACCTAGTATGGACTAGTGTTAAGTAGTTCAAACATCCTATTTGTACCTGTTCTTCTCCATCTCACTGTGCTATCTGGATGGTAAACCTACTGATGAAAGAAATCACACCAAAGTAGTTGACTTCACAAATGCCATTTGTTGAAGATGTCCAATATCAGGAACTTATGCCTTTCTAGGAGATACCCAAGTTATCAAAAGTGAAGATAGATGGATAGCACAACACGTAAACATTTTCAAAATATATAATGATTTTTTATTTCAACAGTTTCATATATTCTTGAGAAGAGAAGCTAAATTTAAGAAGATGGGTAAGTTAAATAGAAATACCAATTACAACTAGAGATGTGCACACCACAAAAATCTGATTAAGTTTCTATAAATTGTATGATTTATGATGTGAGTATGTCTGCAATGTTGGACTGTAGCAGGTGTTGCCACTTTGCGGTTAATGACAGTCCAGGGAAACAAAGTGCCAGAAAGAAAGTGGGTATTAGTAAACTACTCAATAGTCACCTGGAGCAGAAAGTGCTCCACTGTTGTGAACTGTTAACAAAGGATTTCCAGCTCCAGGTGCCAGCTAACTTGGCAAATATTTTTTTTTTCTTTGCTTGTTTCTTTTCTTTTGACACTACACTCAAAGCATATTGAAGTCGTTGTTTCCTCTTCCATCCCCAAGGAAGGCAGAATGCATTCTTGAGTGAGAATAGGAAGGGCTAGATTGAGGCAGCAACTGGCTCAGAATCCATTCCTTCCTGTCACTCAAGGAACCTTATCTGATAGTAATAAAAAAACCTGGATGAGCTATCACCTCCACTCACCTCTGCTGGGGCCTTTGCTGCCCTCACTGCTCACTCTCCCCTTATGGGTGGCAAAAAAATAGGCCCTTAAATTCTGGAGGGCTATAGTGCCATTGCATCTACTGCCCTTGCAGAACCCCTGACATTTTGGGACATGGCTAGGGTAACGTTTTACAGGCTTGGACTTTCTCAAATTGCTACTACTACTCTTATAGTATGTCGATATTCTCAACCCACAGATTGTTTTTCTGCTTTTTCTTTGGTCCACACTTACTTTTTTGTGTCTCATGTGAAAATGTCCTCATGGTACCATGAGTTACTTGTTTTTATTTGTCATAACATGATCTTGGTTGGGACCTCAATGTGGCTCTGGATTCATACTTGGATAGGTCGGGCTCAGCTGCATGTATGTATGCTAACTCTAGGCAGTGGCATACTAAGGGGGTGTTGGGGGGCTGGTCCACCCCGGGTGCCATCAGGTAGGGGGCACCACCAGGGCTGGCCAGGCTTGGAGTTCAGTGAGCTGTGTGGCTGCACCGGGCGCCATAGCAGCAGGGGCGCCGGGCAGCTGACACAGTTCGAACGGTTCGCCGCTGACTCATCATTGAGTAAACTTTGACCCTGTACCTCACAGTCAGCAGACACATTCCAGCCAATCAGCAGCAGACCCTCCCTCCCAGACCCTCCCACCTCCTGGACAGCATCCATTTTACATTCATTGTGAAGCTGCATTCTTAGTGAGCTGTCCAGGAAGTGGGAGGGTCTGGGAGGGAGGGTCTGCTGCTGATTGGCTGGAATGTGTCTGCTGATTGTGAGGTACAGGGTCAAAGTTTACTCAATGATGAGTCCGTGGCAAACCGTTCGTGGCGAACCGTTCGCGAACCGTTCGCGAACCATTCGGCAAACCGTTCGGGACATCACTAATGACCACATGTGCAGAGTGGAAATTTGCAGAGTGGCAATTTTTTACCAAATTTGAAAAAAAATTATGCAATCAGTGGGTTAATGGACTTTAGTCTTTTTTCAACCCAGACAACTATGATGACACTTAATTAATAGTCCAAAATATTTTATTTATATATGTCACATCTATATGTGAGCAGGTTTGCTGTTATACTAATATTTCAGACCCTGTGTAAGGTAACAGTAAAGGAACGGTATACTAAAACTTTCCATTTTCCAAATATTTTTTATGAAGGTTGAATGAATAAAAATTGAGTAAATATAAAAAATGTGTACATTTCCAATCTTTTTAATTTTTAAGTTTGTCTGCAAAGTAATATACACACAAATCCGCAGTGTTATGATATATTTATAAGCTAGTTATGCATCCCTTGCTTCAAATAAATAATAAGCAAATATTTTTAAATCAAAAAGTGCTTGAAGAAGTTAACAGCAACTTTCTCAAAGTAAAAATTCAGATACCTCTCTGCTCACAACCTCACATTACATTACAAAAAAAGTATTACAACAAAACACAGAAATACTTCACCAATAGCCTCATCAATAAACTCTAGTGATGATGGTGCTCAGGGTGTCCTTTTAATGAAAATCACTGCTTCTTAACAATGTTACAGGATAAATACTTCCCAGCAGTAAATAAGTGTTATAACCATGTATACGGCTCTAAAGACTTTGGGCATTTAAACCTTGGCAAGCTAATTTCTTTCACAATTTGATGTTGCCATGGATGACAACCAACACAGCTGTGTCAATGAAATAACAACTTTGAAATCATAGCAAATACAATATGAAGTTATAAATATATAACATATTTCTGAGTGCTGGGGGGGGGGGGGAAAGGTTCTATCCAAACTTAATATTTAGCTACATTACATTTTTCGTTTACAGGGAGTGCAGAATTATTAGGCAAGTTGTATTTTTGAGGATTAATTTTATTATTGAACAACAACCATGTTCTCAATGAACCCAAAAAACTCATTAATATCAAAGCTGAATATTTTTGGAAGTAGTTTTTAGTTTGTTTTTAGTTTTAGCTATGTTAGGGGGATATCTGTGTGTGCAGGTGACTATTACTGTGCATAATTATTAGGCAACTTAACAAAAAACAAATATATACCCATTTCAATTATTTATTATTACCAGTGAAACCAATATAACATCTCACCATTCACAAATATACATTTCTGACATTCAAAAACAAAACAAAAACAAATCAGTGACCAATATAGCCACCTTTCTTTGCAAGGACACTCAAAAGCCTGCCATCCATGGATTCTGTCAGTGTTTTGATCTGTTCACCATCAACATTGCGTGCAGCAGCAACCACAGCCTCCCAGACACTGTTCAGAGAGGTGTACTGTTTTCCCTCCTTGTAAATCTCACATTTGATGATGGACCACAGGTTCTCAATGGGGTTCAGATCAGGTGAACAAGGAGGCCATGTCATTAGATTTTCTTCTTTTATACCCTTTCTTGCCAGCCACGCTGTGGAGTACTTGGACGCGTGTGATGGAGCATTGTCCTGCATGAAAATCATGTTTTTCTTGAAGGATGCAGACTTCTTCCTGTACCACTGCTTGAAGAAGGTGTCTTCCAGGAACTGGCAGTAGGACTGGGAGTTGAGCTTGACTCCATCCTCAACCCGAAAAGGCCCCACAAGCTCATCTTTGATGATACCAGCCCAAACCAGTACTCCACCTCCACCTTGCTGGCGTCTGAGTCGGACTGGAGCTCTCTGCCCTTTACCAATCCAGCCACGGGCCCATCCATCTGGCCCATCAAGACTCACTCTCATTTCATCAGTCCATAAAACCTTAGAAAAATCAGTCTTGAGATATTTCTTGGCCCAGTCTTGACGTTTCAGCTTGTGTGTCTTGTTCAGTGGTGGTCGTCTTTCAGCCTTTCTTACCTTGGCCATGTCTCTGAGTATTGCACACCTTGTGCTTTTGGGCACTCCAGTGATGTTGCAGCTCTGAAATATGGCCAAACTGGTGGCAAGTGGCATCGTGGCAGCTGCACGCTTGACTTTTCTCAGTTCATGGGCAGTTATTTTGCGCCTTGGTTTTTCCACACGCTTCTTGCGACCCTGTTGACTATTTTGAATGAAATGCTTGATTGTTCGATGATCATGCTTCAGAAGCTTTGCAATTTTAAGAGTGCTGCATCCCTCTGCAAGATATCTCACTATTTTTGACTTTTCTGAGCCTGTCAAGTCCTTCTTTTGACCCATTTTGCCAAAGGAAAGGAAGTTGCCTAATAATTATGCACACCTGATATAGGGTGTTGATGTCATTAGACCACACCCCTTCTCATTACAGAGATGCACATCACCTAATATGCTTAATTGGTAGTAGGCTTTCGAGCCTATACAGCTTGGAGTAAGACAACATGCATAAAGAGGATGATGTGGTCAAAATACTCATTTGCCTAATAATTCTGCACTCCCTGTAGTCCTTGTATGTCCAAAACTCTGTCAACTGGTATCACCCTCCAAATATTTCCCACCCTCTCTTTCCCTCTCTTGCTCTAACTCATCTCATTTGCAACGCTCCAGAATTGCCCTTGTTTTAAAATAATGAACTCGTCCCAGTGTGTTCACAGTTACACCTTTGTGTTATATTGTTTATAGATCTGTTTACATTGACAATGTCATTCCTGGAGGAAGTGCGGCACTAAGGCACTTCTGTTCATTCCCTGTCTGCAAGTGTTCTGTTTCTCAGATGATTATCGGCTTTATCTGTAACATGGCACATATATTTGACGCTACGTGTGATACATAATCTAATTCCAAATGTATTGCCTATGCAAATTGATACAACAACATGGTGAATTGATTTATCTCCTAGATAATTAGTAAACTTCAATATCTGTACCAAAACGGCCGGCAATCAGTTGATGTTTAATTAACATGCAATAACTGTCATATTGAATCTACATTAACTGCCTATTTAAGAACTTAATTCAAATCAGAACATGCTATTCACACTTTTTTAGAATTCATTTGCATGCTGAGACCTGGATGTATTATATATGTGTTTAGCACGAGCAATGATAGCGGTAACAGTTACATATCCAGTGTACAAAATAATCATATGATTAGACACTTGGAGAATTCACTGGATACAGCCCTTGAGCAGTGCTCCCCACTATTTCTGACAGAGGCAGTGCATAGATAGATAGATAGGTAGGTAGGTAGGGAGGTAGATAGATAGATAGATAGATAGTGTTTCTTTATTTTTATTTCTGTGTTTTTAAAAAAAAAATTGTGTGTGCATGTCAGTGTATCACATGTTTACATGTGTATGTCATTGTGTGTGTATGTCTGAGTATATGTGTGCGTACTTGCCACAAAGTGTGTATGATTTTTTTTTTTTTTTTTAATATTGGCAACTATGCAAAAGAAACTGGTTACATGTGGGATAAATGGTGTTTGGGAGGGCATCAAGCTGGGTTTTTGCACCAGATTTGAACCTATAAATTTGACCATTATCCAGATGATCGAATCATAACATGGCCAAATTTTGTATTGATATACTGTATTATATTACTACAGTAATATGAATTGTTGTCTATCCATATTTAGGCTTAACAACCCCCACTATTTTTAACAAAAGTGTTTACCAACACAGTTGGCAGAACTCCCAAACTGTTACTATGGTAGCTGCAGAAAGTGTACCCATACACAGTCACACATTATATTACCAAAATCTCCAAGAGGGAAATTGTATATATTTGATTATATGTACAACATAATAGTATTCCAGAAATGTGTTTTCTATTCAAACATTTACTGTGTGAGGTATTATTAGCATTTAATTAATCAAAAATATGTAACTGTAACAAAGGTTTTTGGAGCTTTGCTCATGCTCAAACTCACTTGTTTTTACAAAGTTTTCACAAATTTGACAACTACAGTACATGTATGTATGTAGTGGGAACTGGTATGCGAGATGAGAAGAACAGAACCTACCCTAAATACCCCCCAATAACGACAGACACCATATTTGGATGAAATAGGCCACAGCAGGCCCGGACTGGCCGCGGTGGCTGTGGGCCGAGGCCGGCAGGGGAGGTCCCAGGATCTCCCCTGCCGGTCTATGCAGGGCCGGCACTCTCCGAGCGCCGGCCCCGCTTTGTGCCACGACGGACCGGTGGGGAGATCAAAGATCTCCCTCACCGGCCCAAATGCGGCCGCCGGCGGGGAGGGAGGGAGACAGGCAGCCACCAGGAGAGGAGGACCCGGCGGAGCTCTACCTTGCAGCTCCGCCGGGTTCCTCTCGCGAGATCCGGCGCGTTGCCATGGCAACGACCAGATCTCGCGAGAGTGAACTCTAGCCTCACAGGCTAGAGTTCACTCACCCACGAGGACCACCAGGGAACACTGCCACCCCGCCTGCCAGTCCCAGCGTGCCCCCCCCCAGGCTAAAGGTAATAATGGCTGTTTTTGTTTATTTACCCCCCCCTACACACACACAATAACATTTATACCGCACTCTCTCACACCCCTCACACTCTCAGCACTCTCACACACACAGCACTCTCACACCCATCACACACAGCACTTTCACACACACAGCACTCTCACACCCATCACATACAGCACTCTCACACACACAGCACTCTCACACCCATCACACACACCACTCACACTCACAGCACTTTCACACACACAGCACTCTCTCACACACAGCACTCTCTCACACACACATCACACACAGCTCTCTCACACACACAGCACTCTCACACCCATCACACACAGCACTCTCACACACACAGCACTCTCACACACACAGCATTCTCTCACCCATCACACACAGCACTTTCACACACACAGCATTCTCTC